CCAGATTTGTCAAAAGGGCTTGACAGGCTCGGCCTGTTATTTCTAAGCATGTGTAAGAATATTCATTTACTGAGTGTGCTATTTAAATATTATGATTTTTCTATGTGTTTCTTTTTTTTTAATTTTTTTATTGTTGGTTGTTCAAAACATTACATAGTTCTTGATATATCATATTTCACACTTTGATTCAAGTGGGTTATGAACTCCCATTTTTACCCCGTATACAAATTGCAGAATCACATCAGAGTGTTTCTTGATGTAAGGAAAATTAAGAAGAATAAAGCTAAAGTACTATTCAGTGGTACCAATGGACTTAAATGTTTTTGCTTGATGGCCCAAACATACTAAGTTGTCTAAGTATTCAATAGTTAGAAATAGGCCTATCTCTATCTGACGCTCCATTTTCTCTATTTACCATTTGGGTTAGCATGGGTAGGGGAAAATAAATTGCTTTTCTTTCCATCTTGAGTTCACATCCAAGGCTCCTATAACAAAAGATTAACAAAATAGAAAAATATACAAACTTATTTAATATAATATTTTAATACTTAGAAAACTTCATAAGAATAATGGAGAGTCCCCCATCCAAAAAAAAAAAAAAAAAGCAAAACAAAATACAGGTAAACCTGTGCATTTTTTATGCTAGGTTTATTGAATCACTGGACATTTAAGCTCTCAGGACACCAAATCAGACAAATGGGAAAATAATAGCTGTCCCTCAAAGGGAAAGGATCAATAACTAACTGATACCCCAAGACCATGTTTACTGGAGGGTTATAAACCAAATAAATGGTTTTCTCCTGCTGTGCAGAATTTAGAAGAGAAGGAACAATGAGAGGTTTTTTACTCTTTTCTCTCAACTAGACATTACAGACACAGTAATGGGGGAAAGTTGACCCAGTAAGAATTTTTAGCCTTTCATCAACTTTTTTTCAGTTTCCCAGAATCTCTTCTGCAGGCTCTGGAGCAAGATTCCTTAGCTATCCCTTACTGAGTGCCAAACACTGTAGGAGAAAAAATAACTTTCCTTCTTATTTTAGGTTCATGGATTAAGCCTCTATTAAAAATGGACAGATCAACAAAAGAAAAGCATAAAAATTTATTTAATGTTTTACATTAACAGAACATTCAGAAATGACTACCTAAAGAAATAGATAAATCTGTGTTTTTTTAATGCTAAGTTTGATGGAGAAATGAATAGTTGTGGAAAAGTGTGATTGGATAGAAAATATGATCTAGGGATAAAATACTGGGGTAGGGTATTTGGAAAAGCCTGTTTGACTCTTCTCTGCATCCTTGGTCTTTAGAATTTTAATGTTTCTTATAACTGCTCTAGGGGATTCCCTCCTAGGTTTTATCACTTGCTTCAGGGGAAAAGGGTAAGTGATCTTTCTGCTCCTGCCATCTTCTCAAATGCTCAGGTGCCATGTTTTGTAGTAGCAAGCCCTAAACCTTATCACATGATACTACCCTGGTTTACTTCCTCTGTCCAGCAGCCACTCCATGCTTAACCATTTCCTTTTATCTTTAACCTGATCTTCTTTGTCAAAAATCCACTGCAATTCATCTTACCAAGGGACTCACTGCCTCTCAACAGAGATAACAATGACAGTGATGCAGTTGTATGGATATGAAATACAAAGTCACCAATCCAAGTTTTCAGTGTTAAAACTTGCTTAATTTTGGGATATTAGTAGTTATCAGAAAGGATAAATACGTATAAATACCTTTATAGAAGACTTTTCTGTGAATAATAATAAATTACTGTTAGAGTCTGTAAACAAGTCAAGATGGCGCCTGGCATTTTGCAAAGGGAGTGGTTTGTGAAGTAATGACAGCGAGCCATTAAGTGTGGAGATTCCTTGTTGGTTGACTGCTGTATCTAGTTTATGTTAATCAAGATAAGCTGTGTGTAATGTATATATAGCCCTCTGGTCCTACAATAAACGGCTCCCACTCCTGCTGTATCAATCTACACAAGTTCCTCGTCACCCCCCCCCCGGTTATTTTGCTGCAGCCGGACTGCGGCAAATCACAAATCCACTCTTTATATCCTTGTCAATTTATCTTATATTCCTAAATATTCCCTTTACATAAAAGAATGAAAATATAATATGTTTGTATTAGATAAGGTAGCTAGCTCCTATAACAGTAAACTCACCATTTCAGTGATTAAGATTTTCTTTTTTCCTCAAAATAACATTATTTTGTGATTCATTAACATTCATTTAATGGCATCTTATTTCTTCATCCAAAACTATAGACTTCTTCACCAACTAATGCCATGTCTGGTCCTTGCCTATCAAATCCAGTTAAGTAGACAGTCCAGTGCTTTGTGTTTCTCTTTTGGGGCTGAGGGTTCTGCTTCAGGGTCATTCAGGGGTTCTGGCCTCAGATACTGGATCATCCTCAACACTTTGCTTTCAAGGTCATTCTGAACTTTACAATATAAAAGGCAAGAGAGAAGAGGAGCATGGAGGATCACACAAAGGAGAATTTGAACCAGGTCTAGAAGAGGCTAGAGAGAGGTCTGTTCTTCCACTAGCCCAAATTCAGCCCTTCAACCACACTTAATGACAGGGAGACTGAAAATGTGACTTAGCTATGGAAATGAGTTTGGTATACAGCTGTGAAAATTGGCCTTTCTTTTAACTTCTAAAAAATTATTCCATCAATTTGTCTTGCATGTTATATTTAATTTGGGCTTCAAAGTCTCAGTCCAGCGTGAATTCCCACTTCAACCTTAACAAATTAATTTCTCATTATGTACTGCAAAGAACTTCCTTTGCATCCAAACTAATTTACTTTCCATTTAACTGCCCTATTACTACGCCTTATCACAGGTCATTTCAACTCATTCTATTTGTATCTACTTTCTTCATCTTCTATAAGCCCCTCAACCCCTTATTCCCTTGAAAACATGACTTAAAATTTATCTTTTCTAGAAGGTTATTTAGGATTAATAAAACTATACCCCTGACCACACTCACCTAACTATCTCCTTGGTAATATTCTAATTTTTCCTCTCCTTTTCTCGTCTCATATTTCTGGGAGCCCTCAGAAGGGTAAGAGTTAGCAGTATAAGTCCATGAACAAATTACATAACTTTTGTGGCTCAGTGTACTATCTTTTATTAACATTCAGTTGATAGCATTTTATTTCTTTACCTGGTGCCTATGGACTTCATAACCTTGTACTATATCTGGCTCTAGCCTATCAAATCACTGGATATTGTTTAATCTTTCTATGGAATCTGCCTATAATTCTCCTCTTTCAATGGATATTATTTGCAATAAATGGAGTAGATAAAAAATTCTGGAGGAAAAATGCTCACAAATTTTTAAAAGAAATTGAAAAATCTAGAAGATCTTTTATTACCTTACAAAGTGCTTCAAATTCGTATGTATGTACAAAAATAAATACACAAATATATATATATGTGCAAATATATGTGCAATACATGTCTCAAAGATGTGTTTTTAAGTCAACTTCTATTGTTTCGTTATAAATCGTTCACGTTCTCTCAAATACAAAAAAAAATATCTATTTTTATTGACATTGTAAAAACTAATTTTCTTTAAAAGGGGAGGACATAGGGTAAAGAACTTGTGTTAATGTAAGTAAAAAGGGAATAAAAAGTAAAGATGATACTCAGAAAGAAGAGAAGGTCAAATATGCTGGGATATGAAAAAATGAAACGTACCAATTCAAATAATTGCTTGAAGAGATTATAAGATATTTTCACTCTAATTTTCTCCCTTAAAATCAAAAAACTTTTCCCACAAAAATTTTTTTCAGTGTCACTCACATGAATTAAGGGCACTTTTTTTTTTTTACTAGTCTTCTCCCAGTAAAACCACTATAGGTAAATTCCCCCCATTACTGGGTCTGCTGATACCAATCCTGAGTCCCATTGTATTTTATCTCAATATTAAATTCTATGTTTATCACCTATTATTAAAACAAATGCCCATTTTAGGTTTTCTTAATGTTCTGGTGCTCAAAGCTTTGGCAGGGAATGGGCAGGTAGGGAAACACAGTCCACAGTGTAGCTGAGGAAGGGACTGAGCAATTGGCTTCTGCTGCAGCCACGACGCCTGGCCCTAAATCTTGTGTGTGCTGAAATAGTGTTATTTCCTTTTCCCATAAGTGATTCTCATCTATGTACCATTAGAACCACAAAGGAAACATTTAAAATTCTGATTCCCAGGCTCTTCTTTAGTCTCATTATATAAAACTTCTCCAGCTGGTGGCCAAACTAAGAACCCCATAGGTCTTGCCTTCCTCTGCACCTGCACCTGCCCTGAAGTGAGATTCGCTTCAATTCTCCTCAAAGCTCTTCAGGCGGAAGGGAATTAGAGTGGAAAAGCAACTTAATTTTATTTAACTAAATAAAATTTATTTTCAATGTTTTATTTTCAGTGTTCTACAAGGGACTACCAAAAACAGAAAGCCAACATTTACTTGAAAAAAAAAAAAAAAAAAGATCAGCTTCCTGAGATTAAAAATTTCAAATTTTTTATCAAATTGAAAATTTGTTTTTATCTTTAGAAGTTTATTTTAAATATATTATTATAAATACTTCCTTTCTGAGGAGAATAGGAACATTTTCAAGGAAATAGGAATTCAAGGAATTCTGCCTTTCAGTGAATTCATTAGTATTGAGCACCAAGTGACAAAGATTCTCCATTTGACCAAAATTAAATGGGCCTTATGAATCTTCTCCTAGTCCCATCTGTGTACTTCCCCATACAATGCAATCTCAGCAAAAAAAAAAAAAAAAAATCTAAGTCATTTTAACAAAGTCCCATCATCACTTTCTGATCACCTATAATATCTAATCAGGTTCTTCATCCTTAGTGTCCACCAGGTAATATCTGATCACCATGGACTGTCTTCAACTTGAACCCTGTGTTAGTCAGCTTTTCTTCATTGTGACCAAAATACCCAACAAGAACAACTTATAGAAGGAAAAGTTTATTTGGGGCTTATGATTTCAGAGGTTCGGTCCAGGATTGGTGAACTCCATTGCTGAATGTCAGAGGCATGGCAGAAGAACATCATGGCAGAAGGGAGTAATAGACGGAAGCTGCTCAGCTCATTGCAGCCAGGAAGAAGAGGAGAAAGCAAGGAGCCAGACACAAGGTATAATTCTGAAGGCATGCCCCCAATGACCTACTTCATTCAGTGATGCCCCAAATGCCTACAGTAACCACCATGTCATCCATTCAAATTATTAATCCATCAATTGAATTAACCCAGCTCTTTGGTGGATACCTTTTATCCAAACCATAACAGGCTTTGTTATGGTTTGGATAAAAGGTATCCACCAAAGGTATCCACTTTGTTAAGTAAGTAACAACAACAACCAAAACTTACCTGATGCTGAGTTTTGGTTGTTGTTGTTACTCAAGGTCCATGTATTGAAAGCTTGCTCCTCAGAGTGGCAGTACCACAAGGGGGCGAGACCCTATGAGAGGTGGAACCATGTGGGAAGTCCTTACATCAATTGAAGGTGCTGTAATGGAAAAGGGATTAATGTAGTTTTTCTGGGACCTCTTCATACAAGAGAGTTTTATAAAAACCTGAGACTGGCCCCACTTACTTCTCTGTAGCATCCAGCATTGAGATGTGATTATTTGCTCCCACATGTGCACCTGCCATTGCTGTCCATCATGATGTCACACAGCCAAGAGGACCCTTATCAGAACAGAAGCAATGCCAGTACAATGCCCTTCAACCACCAAAACTGTGAGCTAAATAAACCTCAGGTATTTCATTATAGTGGCAGAGAGATGATTATATACCCCTGATACTTCCTCTAAGTAATTTTTTGACCCTTGAGCCCCCTAACCCTGCTCCTTGACTATAAATATTCCAACTTGCCCATTCTATATTTGGGGTTGAGTCTAATCTTCCTCCTCTATTGCAGCACCCCTTTGAAGACGTCTCTGAGCCTGTCTGGATGGTCCTGAATAAAATTTTATCCACTATGCTTTAAATATTATTGATTTTTTTTCCCCTTTAACACAAACACAAATTACTTTGAACTCTGTGGGAAATGGAATAGAAACCAAAATTAAAACTATTAATTTTTATTGTTTTTGAGAAAAAGATAGATAAAAATAGTATAGAACAGTAAGTGAATAAGCTCTGAGAATGATTGACATAAAATAAGTGGTTAAGAATTCAGAGGAAGGAGGGATTAACATTAATGAAGAAAATAGTAATGAAGAAAAGCCAGATAGCGGCAGTCTTGGCAATACAGAACTACGCTATGTTCATTGATCTTAAGGAGCTTTGATTTCTTTTTGGGAAGAAGTAGAAACAAGTCTGGATTATTATAACTGGGCCATAATTGAAGACATTTAAATCTAAAATTTGGAAATTTGGACTATGTTCTATAGAAAATAGTGAAATTGGTTAAAGGAGAGGTGTGAGGTCCTTTTGATTAAAATAACAATAGCTTACATATTATTATGCACTACATTTTACAGAGTGGCTGAGCATATGCAGAGCAAGTGATGAAGGGGGTGTAAATAAATATTCAGAGCAAGGTCATCCAGAGAAAATTAAACTTACAAAGCATTCTAAGCACCTGATCAAATAAATGAAAAGAAATCTTAAAGACGCAAAAAAAAAAAAAAAAAAAAAAAACAGGCTCAACTTTAAAGGGTCTAACTGGTTTCTTAACATCTCTTAACATCTTAACATCTCTTAAGATTAAAAAAAAAAAAAGTCTCAACCAGCACATTATAAATAGGAGTGAGAGAATGGGCAGAGATGCCTCCAGTTGCTAGACCTATCTTTGTACAGAAATTGTTGCTTCCAATATCTCCACTGGGGCTCAGAACAAGTACCCAAACTATGACCCTTGAAGGCCAATGAAGAACATTGGAGGACTTTAGAAATGAGGTCCTTCTAATCCTCTTCTGTTTGCTCACTGGCCCATTTTCTCCCAGTAAGCGACACATAGAAACCACAATTCTTCCTCCCTAGGCATGTCATAGAAACTTAAGCTCCTCTCACTCAAAGCAAGCTACTAAGCCTAGCAAAAGCTGCTCTCTTAAGAGACCCTCATTCCCGAGGATTCCTGCCTCATACTCAGGAGGAAGGAATGGTACAGATTATCCAAGAGCAATCTGAACATGCTGGGTTCTATTACTATTACATCATATTGTTTCATTCAGTTCTGCTGCTACATGGTGGTAGATTCTTCTTTAAACCTAAGCATAAAAATCAAAAGTATGTTTTGGGTTTGGGGTTCTTCATTTGTGAAGACTACTTTGCCACATAAAACTTTGATTAAATAAATTACTTACAATTTTGTTGACCTGTCTTTCATTTAGGAGTCTCAACTGTGACCCTCATGATAGTTCAGGAAAAGAATTGCACCTTTTCTCTTCTACACAGTCCTAATTGACATTTTGACTCACAGAACTAACTCCATTTTTATACTCTTTCACAAGAAACCTTGTGATGATAATTGCCATATTTATTTGTGACACTATTCCTAAAAGCTGAGGTATGGAATCAGGCTAGGTATCTGTCAACACATGAATGGATAGAGAAAATGTGATATTTATGCACAATAGAGTAGTATCTAGCCATAATGGAACCAAAATTGTGTCTTCTGCACCAAAATGGACAGAACTGGAGATAATGATATTAAGCTAAATAAACCAGACATAGAAAGTCAAGTATTTCATGTTCTCTCTCATTGTGTAGAAACTTAAAAAAGAAAAAAAAAAGTGACCCGAAGATAGAGGAATTACTACAGACTGAGAAGGGTGCCAGGGGAGAGCATTAATAGTAGAAGCCCAGAGAGACATGATCAATGCAAAATGTCTGCATACACGGAACTCTCACAATAAATCTCATTAATTTGTACAGTTAATATAGGTTAATAATTATAATGTTTAAAATACCATGAATTTTTTTTAGAGAAAGAATGACAAGATAAAAATGTTCACCAACTAATCCCAATGACATGTTAACAAATTTTTATTCTGATATACAAAACCATCTCTTGAGAAATTAATGTGAATCTGCCCTCAAGACCAAAAAATGCCTTTAAAGGGTATTTGGGATATGCCAAGCCTTGTATTAAGGACGTTATGGATACTAATTTATGTAGTCCTCTGTTATAAACAGATGCTAATACTCTCATTATCCAGATTCTTTTAAAATTATACATGACAGTAGAATGTGTTTTGGCAGAATATACATACGTAGAATATAACTTATTTAGGTTCCCACTCTTATGATTGGACATTATATGGAGTTACTCTGTTGGGTATACAAATACAAGGCTAGGAAAGTTATAACCAGTTAATTCTACTGGCTTTCCTATTCCCCTCCCCACACCCTTCCTTTTGTTTCCCTTTGTCTAATCCAAAGTACTTCTATTCTTCACTTCCCTACCCTCCCTTATTGTGGGTTAGCAACCACAAGTCAGAGAGAACATTTAGCCTTTGGTTTGGGGGATTGGCTTATTTCACTTAGCATAATAGTCTCCAGTTCCATCCATTTACTGGTAAATGCCATAATTTCATTCTTATTTATGGCTGAGTAGTATTCCATTGTGTATATGACATTTTCTTTATCCATTCAACCATTGAGAGATTCCTAGGTTGTTTCTATAGCTTGGATATTGTAAATTCAGCTGCTGTGAATGTAGATGTGGCTGTGTCACTGTAATGTGCCGTTTTTAATTAAGTCCACTGGATATAGACTGAGGAGTGGGACAACAGGGTCAAATGGTGGTTTCCTTCCAATTTTTCTAAAGTATCTCCATGCTGCTTTCCATAATCGGTTGCACATTCTTGCCAACATTTATCGTTGCTTGTGTTTCTTATAACTGCCCTTCTGACTGGGGTGTGATGCAATCTCTGTGTAGTTTTAATTTGCATTTCTCTATTTGCTAGGGATGTTGAACATTTTTTCATATATTTTTTGACCATTCATATTGCTTGTTCTGTCAAGTGTTTGTTCAGTTCCATTGCTCATTTATTGTTTGAGTTATTTATTTTTCTGGTGTTAAGGTTTTTTGAGTTCTTTGTATATCCTGGAAATTAATGCCTTATCTGAGGTACTGGTGGTAAAGATTTTCTCCCAATCCTAAAATCTCTGCACATGTTCTTGATTGTTTCCTTTTCTTTGAAGAAGCTTTTTAGTTTCATACCATCCCATTTATTGATTCTTGATTTTACTTCTTGTGCTTTAGGAGTCTTGTTGAGGAATTTAATTCCCAAGCCGACTTGTTGGAGAGTTGGGACTACTTTTTCTTGTTTTGTTTTGTTTGTTTTTGTTTTTGATACCAGGAATTGAACTCAGGGGCACTCAACCACTGATCCATAGCCCCAGCCATAGCCCCAGCCCTTTTTAATATGTTACTTACAGATAGGGTCTCACTGAGTTGCTTAGCACCTCGCTAAGTTGCTGAGGCTGACTTTGAACTCTTGATCCTCCTGTCTTAGCCTCTCAATCCACTGGGATTACAAGTGCCCCCTCTACTTTTTCTTCTAGTAATTACAGGGTCTCTGGTCTAAACTCTAGGTCCTTGATCCACTTGGAGCTGATTTTTTAACAGGGTGAGATATAGTGGTTCAATTTTATTCTATTACATATGGATTTCCTGTTTTCACAGCATTTGAAAAACAATTTTAGAGGAGGAAAAGTTTATTCCATGCTCACAATTTCAGAGATCTCAGTCCATAGTAGCCAACTGCATTGCTTTCTGTCCCAGGTGAGGGAAACATCATGGTGGAAGGGCATGATCAAGGAAAACAGCTCAGGGCATGACAATCAGGAAACAGAGGGAGAGCTCCCCTCACCAAGGACAAAATATCAATCCTAAAGGCACAATCACAATGAACCTCTTCCAGATATACCCTTCCTGCCTACAGTTACCAACATTTAATCCCTATCAGTGGATTACTGCACTGATTAAGGATCTCATAACCCAATCATTTCATCTCTAAACTTTCTTACATTGTCTGACATAAATGATTGAAGAACACCTCATATCCAAACCATAATATACCCTATAGGGCATTTTATCCTTTTTTTTTTTTTTTGAAATTATCAATAAAGTTCATTGGTAGCAGTGTAAATCAATTACAATTAAAAAACAAACTAATTTTCCATATGAATAAATCTTAATGCTATTAATTTCCTATAACATATCTGGCATGTATGTTTAAAAAAATCAACAATATTAATTTTCTTTGTAAATTAATTGTAAAAAAATGTAAAATGTAACTGTTGAGTCAATCTCTATTAGTACTTGAAAGTATAAATAAAATTCAAATAAGGTTCAAAGGACCTCATAAAACATATGATAGAATAGTCTGAAATAGAATTTTTAAATTGTTTGATTTAGTTCATAGCATTTTTTTATACCAAAAAAACCCCCTTGAAATGATACACATTTTCTGGATTATATATGAAATTTCACTTCCAGGTGTCTTTTCTGTCACATATTTAATCTTTCTTCATTGTCAAAATCTTAATTTTCATTCCTGATTGGATTTTTTTCCTTGATAATTTTTTTTGTTATTCCACTGAAATATTTCACATGGAAGGAATTATGACTTTGGTATGGAAGAAAATGATCACTTAGCATATGTGAATAGTGGTACCAGCTCTCAAATTTCTTCACCTTTTCCATTGTGATCAAGAGCCTTGTTGTATGATTGGAAAGCTTCTGCTCGAAGTTGCTGATGAGTTTCATGCAAGGATGCAAGGGTACCATCTCTTCAGTATACTCTGGTGTATACACTGGTAACCAATAGACTAGTGTTCTACCTAATACAATGGTCTCACCTGCAAAGTTCAACAGGTTAAAAAATTTATCACTCAGGTGACAACTCAAGGAAATAGGAACATGGCTTCCTGGACATTTTTTATTCCCCTGGGTATTTCTTTCTGTGAACATGTTCTGGGAGATTGTCTGATACCATATGGAGGATCAGAGATAATGGCATCAAAATATATGCCCTTCTTCCAGGAAGGTTGAGATGCATCTGAAACCAGGGCATCAAGGTAATACTTCTCTAAATCAGACTGAGAAAGATTTGCTCTGATATTTTCATCTGGTCCTCTCCATTGCTGGTTTTTCCTACAAGCCTTTCCCAAGCCATGAACTGTATTATAGTCTATGTCTATCCCATTTACATATGCACCAAAATGAGCAGATGCTCTCAGAAGGCCATCTGTTCCAACAAATGGATCAAAGACAAGATCATTTTCTTTCACTTTTCTGTGGTTTTTCCATGATGAATGATATGCCAGTATCCATGCTTGTATTTCCAATAAAGTGTCTCTTTTTGACACTATGTGACTCAATTAGCTCTCTGTCCACCTGCAATCCATCTACCAAAATGTATATTATATAGATTCTCAGGGATACAATAAAGGTCCAAACCAAAATCCTCCAAAATAGAGAATATATGTTATTGTTTCTTTAAGTTCTCTTTTTCTTCCAAAGGTAGAAATTCAGGTGCATCCATTCATTAGACTTTTTCTTCTTGGGTCAATGTTTCATTAAATGTGAAATTTTTTTTTTAATAAGTAGAGTCTGAATGTAGAAATGGAACCATCTTCTCCACAGGGTAATATTTAAGAGAACTGTACAGCTCCTCAGGAGATCTTCCATGACCCCATAGTTCAAATATTGACTTGGCACAAACTGTCCATTTCATTAAGTTTCTTTTAATATGGAAGACTAAGAATCCAAAATGGAGACTTTCCATAAGTTTCGCGACTGTTGATGAACTGACCTCCAGAAAATGGAAGCAAAGATTTTATTTACAAAATGCAGAATTCCAGGTGCTCCTGAGCCATGAGCAGTAGATACCTGGTCAGAGTGCATCACAGTGCCATTGTGGCTGCCCTCCATGTGCCTGGGCAGCCTGCATGGGCCTGCTGGCTTCTCCCTGCATAGAGCCATCTCACATTTTATCTTTTAATTAAACAACAATAACAACAACAACAAAAACTGCCTTCCAAATCCACCTCTTTAGAAATGACTCTCTCCACCAATCTCTACTCCTGAGCTACTTGGGCCTTTCATTCCTGAAAAAAAACCTTGATCTTCTCTTATCACTATTCCTTTATTCCAGAAAGTTCTATTCTAAATATCTTTGCCCCACATCACCTAAATAACTAAAATTTGATATCACATCACAGCCTTGTTTTCTATTCTTTTATTTACTTCCACTGTCTTCCAGTTTCCAAAGACAACAGCAGCTGATCTCCATCCTGTTACCCACCCCAGAGTGAAGATGAGCTGCAAAGCTTCAATGCCTTATAAAAGAAAGAGCAGGAGACCAATGGAATTTCCTTTCTCACTTACTTTTTACTCTTTCTCCTCTTTCATTCCACAAGATAGAATCCTTAAGACTCATAGATTTTCTAAAGCAAAAAAAAAAAAAAAAGTTTAATGTTTTGTTTTTACAAAGAACTGAGAACCTTCTCCTCCTGGTTTTGCTAAACCCCAGGTAACTGTTCAAATTAAAGTTAAAAATAAAAATTATGTGAGGCAATCCCTTAACTCTGGAAGTACTAAAAAGTCACCAAAAAGTTGAAAGTTAGATTTTTTTTCTAATGCAGAGAATTACCTCTTTGATATCTTGCTTATATATTATCACCTGGAATCAGGCTGATCTAATATACTTTGTGAAAACTTGCTCTAGCCATCATTCATCCATGACCTAGAGGATAGAAACTTGATTTGGGATTAAAAATGCCTAGGATTATAGCTGCTTATCACTTCCCAGCTGGTTTTGACCATCAGGTATATGTTTCAGTATTGAACTAAACAAGACCAGTCATGAATATTTTAGATACATCCAAACATACAGATCAAGATAACTTTCCTCTACCCTAAAGATAAAAGATCTAACTATCACAGTAGGAGGCTTGTGAGTTCCTATGAAAGTAAGCAGTCTCCATGGACACTGAGTGAATTTTATTCTTTCTACATTCAACATTCAAAAGAAGACTTGTCACAGCCTGAAGAAGGTGGAAAATCCCTAAGTTCAGACTGAAAGTACATGAAGGAGGGAGAAAGGAAAAGGAAAAACAAGTAATAAAGAAAAACAATATAGCAGCTCCCCATATGACAATGCAAATATGAAGACAAATATGTAGAATCATGTGCATTTACTCTTTCCATGTGCGTTTACTAATTTGAGCTTAGTAGCTTCATTTTGAGTGCTAAGATAAGTAAACAATATTTTCCTTTCATTTTGGTATCTGGAAATGGGCCTACTTGGCACTAAGTTCCATACAGTAGAGACAGGACCAAACAGGCTTTACAAAAAAAATTGGTTGATTTTGGCAGAGCACTGGGTATACAACACCTGTTGTTCACCAGTCTGAGTGTAATGATTAACATCTGGCTGTTGCTTGCTTCTTTCATTTACCACTTGGACTTTTAGCCTTTGATCACCTTTCCACTGCTCTTTACTTTCACAAATTATTCATATATACTACATTTGAATTTTCCTTTCATCTTGCTCACCCATTGTTCCTTTTATCCACAAGCTAATATTTAGTGAATTATCCAGCCACTTAGGGAAACTCCCCTAAAGTATGGTTATCTCAATACAGTTTTTCTTTACTAAACTCCATATATATATAATTAAAACTTGCTATAAAACACCTGGTCCTACTTTTTTTTATTATTATTATCTACAATGCTCCTGCAAAAACCCCATTACTACTATATAAAGAATTTTGAGAATAAAAGAAAATAATTTGGGGGATGGGGTACAGGGTACTAAACTCAGGGGCACTTGGCCACTGAGCCACATCCCCAGTCCTATTTTGTATTTTATTTGCAGACAGGGTCTCATTGAGTTGCTTAGCAACTTGCTTTAGCTGAGGCTGGCTTTAAACTCTTGATCTTCCTGCCTCATCCTCCTGAGCTGCTGGGATCACAGGTGTGCACCACTGTGCCTGGCAAGAGAAATTAATTTTTAAAATAATCTTAAAAATATGAAATGTGATTAGTTTCCATACAGAACAATAGATGTAGAGTTGCTGAAATAATTTGAAATACCAATGCTGTTTTCTTTAATGCAGACAATGCTATTTGTCTTATAAAAGTTAATTTTAGGAAGAGACTCTGAAAAGTTGAAGTGTAGGTTCAAATAGACAATTTTAAAAAAAATTCATAATTTCTAAGTATGAAACTGTATACTAGTTATTGTGTTAGATATTGTAGTATTATGACAGTAATATTTTATAACTCTATCAGGTAGATTTTACCATTCTCTTTGCTTTAAGTAACAGAAAACTGAAATTCAGAGGAGTCAATAGTAAAGCCACTGACAGCTGGAGAGACACATTGGAATCTAGGTATCAAAGACCACATACACCATATATTTTCTTCACATCTTACTGTATGCCTCAGCTAAACATAACCTGAGTTCGACTCTTTATTTCTTCCTCTTAAAATTATTTTTGTACCTATAGTACTAAATAATTAAAATTCATTACATTTTCTCTCAACTTTTTTTTCTTTAATTAAATGAATGTACATACAATGTTCCAATACTTGGGTAAAGGGAGAAAAATATCTTCCTTATCCATCCTAGATTCATAGCTGAGTCCCCTATAACAAAAAACAGATTAACAAAAGAAAGGGTAAAAATTGATTTAAGTTTTCTATGACACAGAAAATACCACAAGGAAATGACAATCCCAAAGATACAGTAAAACTTGAAACATGAGGTGACTTTTTGTTGTTGTGTGTTTGTTGTTTGGCACTGGGGATTGATCTTGGGAGCACTTTACCACTAAGTTACACCCCAGCCTCTGTCCTTTTCTTTTTCTTGAGACAGGGTCTTGTTGAATTGCCCACACTGTCCTCAAACTGACCATCCTCCTGCCCCAGCCTCTCAAGTCATTGGAATTATAGGAGTGCTGCATCGAGTCCAACAAACTTGACGCTTTTAAAACAGTGTGAGAAAGAATTGAGAATCATGGGAAGATATGAGAGGGTCAATTAGCATGATCTAGTGGTTTTAAACTGAATAAAATTAAGATTCTTCTTCACCTCCCTGTGTCAGATACAAGGAGGTTGTTTCCCTTTGGGTTTAGTGGGAGCATCTCACAGGAAGGTTCTTATGACCTTCTTTGATTGCCTTCTGAAAAAAGGGTAGGGAGAGGTAAGAGT